GGTTTGGGCCTTAGGCTTTCGGCTTTAGCTGCTTTCGTGTTGTGGGACTTTTGGGCAGGGTTTGGGGCTTAAGAGGGGCTTGCAAAGGTTCGTTTTGTGGTTTCTTGTTTCGAGGCCTCTAAACCCTATAACGGCCTTATAACTTATAACAAAAACCCTAAGCCCGAGACAGTCAACCGGAAATCGCCATCGAAGAGACTGAGCGCCCAGGGCAATGGTGCCTGGACTCCGAGTGCTCGGACGTCACAAACAGCGCATCTCCCCTGGGCATCAAAGGCTTCGGGGAGCCGGCTCTTGGGTTTAGGGTTTAGGGGTTTAGTGTTTAGGGCTTAGGGTAAGTACTTACCAATGCTGTTTTGGTGGGTTCCTCGCACAGGTGCTGCCTTCGAAGTGGTAAATGTGAGCGATTTCGACGGCGAATTCCTCGGGCAGATGCCCAAAGAGAAAAGCAAGGCAGGTTTGGGTTTTGCGAGGTGGCACTTGAAGGATCATGGGACTTAGTAAGTAGGGTTATAATTTAGGTAACTATACTTATAACCCCAATTAAGGGCCTTATAACCTTATTTACTAAGTCCCATGATCCTCCAAGCAGAGCTACTCAGGGCTGAAGGACTTTGGGAGTCGACCTGAGCAATGAGGGTGTAGCCCTAACCCCCCAAGTACCTACTACATAGGGTACTAGAGCCCCTAGGGCCCTATATAGTAGGTACCTGGGGGGTTAGGGTAGGTTTTGGGGTCTTTCAACGTCGCATGGTTGAGGCCCGGAGGTTATAAGCGACCGGATAGCAGCTGACAACATTGTTGTGGAAGCAGGTCTCGTTGCGGGCGTTTGGCGTTGTGGCTAGTCGCATGCATGCTGTATCTTTCTTTTTGACCCTGGTTAAGCCGCGGAAGACCAACGACAAGACAGGGTACTGTTTGCACGAAGGGCATGACCAGGATGACGCACTCTCTGAAAGGTGAAAACCTACCTATAGTCTCCATTGTAGTTCCTTTTTTTGGTTTAACCAATAGTATAATAAGGATTTTATAAGGTATCCCCAGGAAGGAACTACAATGGAGACTATAGGTACAGTAGAAAAAAACAAGAAGGACACGCGACCTAGATACGGCATGATGAAATCAGACTTTCTAACAGCAGCAGTCGCCCGACAGTTCATATTTAGCCTTCAAGATAGGTCCTGGGACAAGTCTTCAAGCCCATTTCTAGCTGCCCTACATTCCACCAGGCAGCTCCCCCAAAGTCTAGCCGAAAGCCCTGCACCCTGAGCTGCCTCCTGAAACGCGCTCCGCTTCGTTTGCATTTCAGAAGTGCCTGAGGCCGAGGATTCTAGGTTGGTTTTTGGGACATTTTTTATTTTCCTTATTTGGTTTCTAAGGGGCCCTTTATACAAATATTTTTCAGAGGGTTTAAAGGCCAACCCAGGATTCTTGTTAAGCAAGTTTCCATCCTCCAGAGTCCCTCATGTCCTGAACCCTGGAGTCTTAAACTCTATGAACTCTCAAGCCGCGAGCTCTAAATCTAAACCCTGAACTCGTATGGACCCTAAGACGTTCAGCACATTGTACACCCTATCCCATACCCCCCCCCCAGGTACCTATAGGGTACTAGAGCCCTTAGGGCCCTATATAGCAGGTACCTGGGCGGTTAGGGGAAACTACCGGAACCCTAAACCCTAAACCCCTAAACCCCTAAACCCTATATCCTAAGAGGTTCAGCACACTGTAGACCTTATATGCTACAGTGGCTCTGCCCCGTAGCGACCACCGAAACGAGGCCATGTCCTTGGCAGACGCCACGCGCTCAGATCCTGAACTCGCGGGTCGAAACTTTGAAGTCCATTAATAATAATTACAATAATAAACATTACAAGAATAATAATGATAATATTAATAATAGTAATATTAATAATAGTAATAATAGTAATAGTAATAATAATAATCAGGGGTTTCTTTATGACACAGAGCCCCAAAAGCGTGAACAAAAGTGTGTAGAGCTATAACTCATAGCTCTTTTGGGTTTACACAGTCTTTGGGGGGTTGATAGGGTCGAGGGTTACGTTTGATGGGTGATGGTTTCGGGCTTCGGGTGTTGTGGTCTTAGGGTGCGGGTCTGTGGGAACGATCAGCTGCGTAGTAAGACTCCGTAGAATTTCGGAAGTCGTCCATCGTCTTTTGGGCTCTTCGGGCTACGCTCGAATGCGCTGACACAGAACCGGTAAATGTGGGAACAGATCTGGATGCAGCAGACAGACAAACTTCGAAAGCTGGCCTGCAAGATCAAGGACCTCTGAAGCCGTAGCCTCCTAAACCCGAAACCCTAAACCCGAGCTTAAAACCGATCCCACATTTCCCTTGTTCGCTCTATTTTGTTGAGCTGATGTAGGCAACGGTCCACTTTCAATGCCCGAAATCAGATCTCGGAGTAAGCCAAACCTTCCAATATCCCTTAATTAAGGAGTACTACATCTTAAATCATATTAGGGATCCTACTCTAAGTTACCTATAGTCTCCATTGTAGTTCTTTTTTTTGGTTTAACCAAATATATAATAAGGAATTTGTAATGTATCCCCAAAAAGGAACTACAATGGAGACCATAGGTATTCCTGAATTCTTGGGAGATTGGGAAGGTCTGGGCACCCATTTCAAGATTCCCCTTGAAGGCCTCGGAGTCCAGAGGCCAAACAGAACTCCAGGACCTGAAAGCTCAAACCTCACGCCGTAGCTAAAGTCTCCATTGTGGTTCCTTTTTTTGGGTTTTGGGTTTAGGGTTTCGGTTTTTGTGTTTAGGGTTTCGGTTTTAGGGTTTAGGGTTTAGGTTTTAGGGTTTAGGGTTCAACCAAATATATAGTAAGGATTTTATAAGGTATCCCCAAAAAGGAACTACAATGGAGAGTTTAGGGACAGCTAAGCCCTGCTCAAACACCTTGGGGCTTTTGGGGCTTTTGGGGTTTACCTGTAGTCTCCATTGTAGTTCCTTTTGGGGATACCTTATAAAATCCTTACAATATTATTGGTTAAACCAAAGAAAGGAACTACAATGGAGCCTACTTGGAGGTTCATGGGTAGTTATAAGTGGGGTTATAAGTCCCCTAACATGGGTTATATGTATAGTTACGCTACTTATAACCCCAATTATAACTACCCATGAACCTCCAAGTATGGGTAGTTTAGGGGAGAGGGCAGGGGGTTAGGTTTGCACGAGTGCGGTGTGCTGGGGGAGCCAGGCCTCGAACAGGTTTGTAGTGTTCCCCTAAGTTCCCCTAACCCCCCAGGTACCTACTATACTTGGAGTTAGGTAAGTGGGGTTATAAGTGCACCAATATGGGTTCTAAGTCTAGTTACCCTGCATATAACCCCATTTATGACTGCCCATGAACCTCCAAGTATAGGGCCCCAGGGGCTCTAGTACCCTATAGAGTAGGTACCTGGGGGGTTAGGGTTCAGCAGTTCGCAGGGGCTTGGGAGTGTGGGTATCGCATACGAAAACCGGCATCGTCACGAAGCCATCTATACCTCTATGAGTATGCACAGAGCACTTGCCCAAGAAACCAGATGCCTTTTTGTGGAGGCTTTGAAAATGAAGCCTCCGCGACGCCCTCCTCAGCCACCGATGCCCGAGCTGGAGGCTGTCTGGATTTCTTGAACGATTTAGGGCTTCGGCTTCTAGCCGGGGGAGGATTATGGGTCGAGGATTGAGTCTGAGATACGTCAGGAGCGCCAAATTGAGTTTAAGGGCTTTGCCACCCAAGAGTTTCTTTGCGAATGAGTGTCAGGTTAGTATGGGGGCCTTAATAATTACAATGAAGTTTGGAGCCCATTTTGTTATAATTGTAATAAGGAGCCCCAAAAATAGTACGGGTAATTGTTAAGGCCCTATATTACCAGCTTACTCTGACTGGTAATATAGCGTCTTAATAATTACCCATGCTATTTTGAGGGCGCTCCTAAACCCTAAACCCTAAACCCTAAACCCTAAACTTGTAATATAGTACACCCCAAAACCCTATTCGAATGATTAAGGCCCCTAAACCCGAAACCCAGACTTCTCGTAGCCCTGATAGAACCCGTTAAGGATCCCTTTAAAGGAAACCCTGTTTTAGGGTTTAGGGTTTAGGGTTTAGGGTTTAGGGTTTTGGTTCTCATGATTTAAGTGGCCCCTACGTTAGGCTGGTATGCAAAGTTGCTCGGGTGGGGAAGCGTCAGAGTTCGGAGCTTTCTGGGGGTTTCTAAGGTCCGAAGGCTCTATTTGGGGGGCGTCATGGGTAGCTATACATGGGGTTACTATAAGGGTTCCTATAAGGGTTCCGATACGGGTTTAGGGTTTCTAAGGTCCGAAGGCTCTATTTGGGGGCTTCATGGGTAGCTATAAATGGGGTTACTATAAGTCAATAAGGGTTACTATGAGGGTTACTATAAGTGACAATAAGGGTTACTATAAGGGTTTAGGGTTTAGGGTTTCCAAGGTCCGAGGGCTCTACTTGTTGGCTTCATCGGTGTGAAAAAAATGGGGTTACTATAAGGGTTAAGTTCGGGTTCACTAGGGTTCACTGGGGTTCATGGGTAGTTATACATGGGGTTAGTACAAGGGTTACTATAAGGGTTTAGGGTTTAGGGTTCATGCGTAGTTATACATGAGGTTACTACAAGGGTTACTATAAGGGTTTAGGGTTTAGGGTTCATGGGTAGTTATACATGAGCTGGTGAGTGTCCCAGACTCAAGGGCTGATACAACAGGCCTGAGTGGTGCTTACCGAATTACGTAAGTAAGCTTTGCCATGTGCCATTTTGACGGCTCCGAAACAGAGATTCCCCTTGAGCTGAACTCTATGATCCTCCGCGAGCACCCTTCAACTTCTACAGTGGCACAATGGAAAAAAACCCGAAATCCGCGACCGCGTCCCGGGTTCCGTGAATATATGCGCCTGCGGAATGCTAAAATTCCGCACGTTGGCTCCAAGCGTGCACTCCATCCGCCCCTGAAGCCCGCAAAACCCAGGAGTTCAAAGCACAGCAGCCGAAGTACGCTGCAGAGTGCTTGAACTACGAGAATCTCTGGAAGGTTCCGTGCCAAGCTGTCCAGTTTTCAGGCGTTCACTGGAGGTGCTTCCAGACATTGCATTGGCCCGAGCCCTGTAGGCTTCAAGCTCTAACCCCGAACACCTGAGCCCGGAACCTACTTGTACACTAGGCCAGGTCTAGCTCACCCGTTCTGTGTGCACATTACAGCCAGCGCTGCTCGGTTCTGGGCACAATGTTTCGCATTCGCGAAGCGATCGTCGATCCCTCAAGTAAATGCATTCGCCTCTACACTTCGGGATGCCGGCGGAAGGCTGTAAACCCTAAACCCTGAACCCTATAGCCTATAATTTTCATATGGTCTGAAGCAAACACAGAGCCAAGGATGTCTCGGAGACGTTCAAAGACGAGGAGGCCCGTCCGTCCCAAGGGTTTCACACGCCTCCGAAAGGGTGCCGCCCCAAAGCCATCTAAGAATAGCCTAAACCCCTGAGAGGGACTATATAGGGGACTACTTCAAGAGGGATGAAGGGCCTGCAGACTTTAGCTCATCTACGCTCACAGTAGTTCAAAATCACTTTAAGGCTTCGTCTGCTTCGAAGGGTTCTTGACGGTTTTCGGGAAACTTAAGCCTTCTACCCAGCCAATACAGTTGAAATCCATCCGGTCTGTGTTTCCACATGTTCATCCTTTGCTCATTGGACACTGAGAATAGGATTCTGCTACGGATTCCACTCGGCCGTGCAGTTGCTACATGCGTGGATGTGTACAGTTTGCGCCTCCCTTTCAGACACCGCCGCCTTACTTCGCCGGTCCAGCCTTAGAAAGTTTCAACCCCCAACCTGCCCCGAATGATTTGTTGGAGCAGTTTGAGGACTTTTTCGAACGCGCCGCAAACCCACCCAAGCTGTCGTAGCACGGCTGAGGGCGTGCTCTGACATTTTCGCGAATAGGCGGGTCGTTTAGGATTCCAGCTTGTTTCGAAGGACGAGGAAGTGCAGACAACATCCAAGTTGGAGGCAGATCCCTCCACGAAGGACCCATTCGAGCGTGCTCTGTGTAGGCTTCTCGTGCGGCTTGACGCTTGAGCTTTGGATCGCAGGCCCTGTGCAACCGAGAGGCTCACGAGTCTGGGGCGCGGTAAATTGGAGAGGCTTGTGCTTGGGGTCCTGAGGTGCAGATCCTTTGATGCGGTCTGGGTGCTTCGGCACATACGGATATGATGCACATGTGTACCGGCGCGAAACTTAGTGCAGGTTTGGGAGTATCTAACTACTTGCCTTTGTCTCCAGTGTTGTGGAAGATGCGAGTATGCCAGCAGAATTCATGGGTCAGTATTGGAAACGTGTCACTAGTCTCGATCTGCAGAAGCATACTTATGCGATTCGTTATCTTCGTTGTGCTGGGCGCTACTACAGCTGCTGCACTACCAGCACTCACCGAAATCACCACCGTTCACCATCATCAGCAACAAAAGAACACCAGCATTAGGACAACGAAATCGCCGGCCCTGATGACATCGCCGCCCGGCCCATACAACGACCACTGCCACGACCACTGCTGTTTTACTGGACACACGGAGCTTGTGGACAGAAGAGCTTGAATCGCAACGCAGAACCCACACCCGCCGATGCCATGGGAGTAGGGCTCGACTTATAACCATTACATCCCTCGTAAGCATCCACGAGCACTAGGAAGGTCAATGCAATGGTGCCCTTGAGGAGAAACAAATGGATTCATACCACCCCTGTCAAGTGGCCAAGACTGCCGGCGGCATCTTTGGTCAGTGGGGTGGAGGCGGAGGGTTTTGGGTTTTGGCCTAATTGTTTTTTGATCGAGGTATTGAGGGGTCGGAGCTCGTTTTCCGGGCAAACCAAAGGACTTTGTAATCATGCGGTCAGGTGTTTCAGTTCGCTTATGCCGTAGCATACTTCGGCTGATGATTGAAGTCTGGTCTCAAGAGCGAGGCTCCACCGCGGCTGACTGAGCCTGCAACAGAGCGAGAGAGAGAGAGAGAGAGAGTGAGATTGAACACTTCGATACGGAGTGGGCTCTAAAGCTTGAACTGCGCTCACAACGCGTGATTTTCTTGTTCTTCCGTACCAAGTTTTCCACTGCACAGTCTTGGAGGATTGCTGCTACTATTCCCTCTCTGGCAGTCCTCTGTTGCTCTGCCCAAGTTTGCATATTTTTTTAAAAGATTTAGTACTGAGATGGCAATCTGTTATGTCGTTTCAGGGTCTCATGGCACCACGGTGGGAATATTGTGTGTTCCTTCGTGGGCCGTTTCTTCTTCATACTGTCTTGCCAATCCAAAGCTTGGAATCTCCCGTATCTATCCTGCCTGTAGTCTCCACTGTAGTTCCTTTTTTTGGTTCAGCCAAATATATCATAAGGACTTTATAAGGTATCGCCAACAAGGAACTACAATGGAGACTATAGGTGTTGTGTGGGTTTTAGGGTTGTAAGTCCCCCACCTCGGAAGCATCCAGAATGGTAACGTACCCAGAGACTCCAGTATCGCTTGATTAAGGAATATACCTTAAATCATATTAGGGATCCTACTATAACTTAAGGTATATTCCTTTATTAAGGGACATTGGAGTCTCTGGGTACCTGGAGGAGACGGGTCGACTGCTCCAGAGAACATGATGTATGCGGACTGGAACGATTGCATGCAAGGCAGGGGAACCCCGCTTCAGGATTGAAGTGGGTTTGGGAGCCTGTTGCCCCGAGAGCCGACATCCTACCCCAATCTAGGGGCCGAAATAATTACCGATATTATGTTTGGGGGTTCTTTATTATATAACTATAGTAGACTATACCCCAAAACCCTATGCTATCATTATAAAGGCCCCTATATTACACACGCGAGCGTCAAACTAGCAGACAGCGACGATTCCTACTCAACGGAAAGGTTTGGTAACCTTGGGGCCTAGAACCCCCTGGAGCCCTTACAAAGCTCGAAGAAGCCATAGCTGTTGTCGCCCTTTCTTCGCAGTTCCTGGGTTCATCGCAGACGTGTTACATGAAGACCCGGTAGCTGCGGGAGTATCCTCAAAGGCTGCTGATCAAGCCTGGAAGGATTTTTTGCCTTGATGGGTGAATCGCGAAGCTGCAGCACCCCGAAACTTGTCCTGACTAGGGTTTAGGGTACGACCTGCGCAGTTCACTATGCAAACTGACTGTGCCGGGAGCTAGCATCGTTGAAAGAGCTCTGGCCCAAACTCAAAAGCGTTGAAGCCCATTTGCCTTCGCACACCTCCTGATCATGCGCGCGATGCTGGCTGCCGGGATCCCAAGTTGTGACGTCGACAGCTCTTGCCTGCTTGTTGCGTTTTTCTTATGAACCCCAGGTGTCAAGATTCCCATCACAGGGCGAAGCCACCGGTAAAATGCACTGCTTGAGGAGGGGATGCTGAGGTGCAGGGGCTTGACACGTCGAGATCCATGATAGCTACTTCTTGTTCACATGCGAAGGGGACACACACACACGCAACAGCGCACACATGATTTTATATACAGCTATCAGATATCCAAGATATCCACCAAGTGTGTAGACGAATAACCAGGTAGCATGCGAAAGCTCTTCCACTTATTCTCAAATATTCAACCGCCCCCAAACGTGTATCATGATGGCTCTTCTGACATCACTGACGCGCACACACGCACGATTTTTTCTTCGAGGCCATCTTTGCTTTGCTCGCGGTTGGCTCCTTTGCAGATGCCTGGCTGGAGCCAGTCTGGTGTCATTAAGGGATGTGAGTTCTATCTTGAGGGCACGCTGTCGATGCAGTGTGTATGGTGTACCCATAGGCCCCAAAGTAGTTCCTTTTTGGGGTTCATCTATAGAATCCTATAAGGTAATCCCCAAAAGGAACTACTATGGGGTCTATGGGTACCTGCGATGCAGTGTGACATCAGATGACAGCCCTCCAGGGCCCGACGGTTCATGTCCAGACTCCCTTTGGGCTAAGGATGAGTCGATGCAAGCATTGGCGGCAGATGACGAGTCTGCCGCCCTCAACTTGCTTCAGCACAAGGGAACTGCTGAAGCAGAGGAGCTGATCTCGCATCATGGCATGGCATGGCATGGCACGGTGTGGATTCTCATGCCTTGCCGGATGCACGTTCCACACGCCTGAGCACAGCTCCTGGCAGGACGAAGACGTGGAGGAAATGGTGGGTGCTGAGACGGCTGTGGAGATGTCTTCTCCAGGCCTGCATCCTTGCACTGTGAGGGCATGTCTGTAAAGGCATCATGAAGCGACCACAAAGCGTGCGACCCCTTGAGACAGGAACGGCCTTCTTGGAGGAGGGCGAGGGACGCTTCAGGCTCTTGCAGCAACCATCGTAGCTGAAGTGCCAGGAGTCATGGAAGGCAACAAACTAGCCTGAAGATGAGATCCTCGGGGACAGCCGTGTGTGCGAGTAGGATAGTGAGCGGCATGATCAGCAGCCTGCTCCGTGCAGAAGAAGCTGGAATCATGCCGCTGGCAGCCGAATTTCTTGGCGACGACAGTTTCCATACTCGGTCCGAGTTAGGTTCACAAGTCAGGGTGAATGCTGTTTAGCCTGGCAGGTGCGGCAAGATCTACTGTGCTTCGGCAGAAAGCAGTCCTTCTGACATTTGCCCAGAGTTGCGTAGGCGTCTCTTCTTGAACAGGCGAGCTGTACCACTGGGTAGATGTAGAAAGCCTGACCACTTTCATGATGTTTCGAAAAGGAAGCGAGCTTTCAGGTGTGCAGGTGTCGTTGGGTGCAGGTGCAGACACCACTGGAACCTCGTGCTGCCAGCAACCCCGAAGCGCCATCTGCTGCGGACCAGGACACGTTGGATTGCTGTTGTGAGTCCAGTGTTCATTCAACCTGTGTTTGTCCGGAAAGTTCGCAGTCTGTGTTGACGCGGGGTGTGCAGCGCTTGCATCACCGTGCTGTCGACACTTTGTGCCGAGCTCAGTGAGCCAGTTGGAGCTAATCGAAGCAAAGCAATAAGGCATCAGTGTCAGCAAGAACTGAGCAGTTCCACAAGTCTCGCTCTTGTTCCAAGAATCAGAAGAGCATGTGTTTTACTTGGAGGATCATGGGACTTAGTAAGTAAGGTTATAAGTCCCTTAATTGGGGTTATAAGTATAGTTACCCTAATTATAACCCTGCTTACTAAGTCCCATGATCCTTTAAGTACTCAAAACCCTAATAGCCTAAACCCTAAACCCCAAACCCCTAAACCCCTATAAACCCTAAACCCTAAACCCTGCTTACTAAGTCCCATGATCCTTTAAGTAGTCACCCTTCGGCAGGATTTCGCTGCGGCAGGGGGATGCGTATGCTGGCCATGTGCTCTTTGGCCGATAGCTTGTTCGGGATGCTGCCATGCAAAAGGGTTTAGGGTTTAGGGTGGTTTAGGGGTTTAGGGGTTAGGGTTTAGGGTTTAGGTTTTAGGGGTTTAGGGTTTAGGGTTTAGGGGTTTAGGGTTTAGGGTTTAGGGTTTAGGTCTGTTCTAAGTCGATCGTGTTGACCACTTGCTGGGGATCAGAGAGCGTGTTTGTTTCAAAGGTTGTCACAGACATTTTTACCCATAGCCCCTAAAGTGGTTCCTTTTGGGGTTCATATATAGAATCCTATAAGGTAAACCCAAAAAGGAACTACTATGGGGCCTATGGGTAGACTTGTCTTTCCTGCTTTGGAGCTTTTAGTTGCAGGCTGGGGCTCTTTGTGGGTTGTTCTGAGCAACTGAGGCAAGTGAGCTGCGCTTGGTACGGGCAAGTTTTGAAGACCGGCAAATGCATGCATCAATGAATGTGTGTGTGTGCTCATTTGACTGAAGTCTCAACGTTCTGGAGAAGGGGCGCTTGATTGCTGAGTGCCCTGACTTTGGCAGAAAACCAGAGCGGATTTTGCTGGTTACTGGAGAGTTGCAGGCGTTTCAGCCGAAAGGAAGGGTCGGTCTTTAGCCTAACACCTTTCAGCGCTGTGCCAGAGCAGGTTCAGACAGTGTTTCATCCTTGGGACACGTTGACGGAAGTCTTCTCTGCCGGAATTCATATGGGTAGTTGTCAAAATTATGGTCCCTTTTGGGATACCCTAAATAATAGGTGCCGTATTATAATAATGACCCAAAAAGGGACCCTAATTTTGACAACCACCCATATCGGTTCAGGATGGCTGGGCTAGAACTAGAACTGCGACCCAGAGCAGCACACCCGTAAAATTACAAGGGTTTAGGGCTTAGGTTTAACCTTGAAGGAGAGATGTTGTTGGGGTTTGTAGCGGCTGCCGTGTAGGGTTTCGGGGTGTTCTGTGAGATGAGAAGTGGAATGTCGTTCGGCGGAATCTGTGATCCCACATGCTAGATGCAGAACTCAACTGTCTCAAGTGTATACTTCCTCCTGAGCAAACATTCTTGAGATTTGGGGAGTGGCTTGTGGGTCTTGGGATGAAACGGGCGCAGTCTTCAACAGGTTTGAACCTCCAAGCGATTGAGGGGGTTCAGGGGGTTTCATTTCCCTAAGGGTCCATGTACCCAAATACTACCCTAAACCCTAAACCCTAAACCCTATATACATTGGCCCTAAAGTACTTATATAGGGATTACATGAAGGCCAAAGTATATACTATTTGGATACAAGGACCCTTAGGGTTTGGCGTTGGCATAGGCCACCCGGGATCCGAAACGGTTTAGGGTTTAGGGTTTAAATGTAAATTTTAGGAATTAAAGACAAAAAATGATTAAAAGAAACACGAGCTCCTATAAGCCTTAAGGCTGCTGCAGGGCCCTCAAATCCCTAAACTGTGCCCAACTTGGATCATGTGGAGCCCTGTCTGCCTTCTGCGAGTCGCGAGAGGCGACATGGCTTAAGCCCCCCCCCTCCCCCCCCCCCAAAAAAAAACACGGCGGAGGCGACATCGAGCGCGACTTGGCCGCTGCGCAGTTGGACTATCATGGCGAGCTTGCCGAGCCCTGCCGGTCTTTCTGCCTTGGGGGTTCAGGGGTCCTGAAAAAAAAAGGATTTTTTTTTGGGGGGGAACGCATAGGGATTGGAGTTCAAGGTTCCAGAGTAGTACCCTTTTGCCCTTTTTATTTTGGGGTCTCACGGGGTCTCTTTATCAAAACCGAATACTAGGAGAAAGGGTGCCCTTATTATTTAGGGGTCACTCAGGAACCTAGAGTTAGAGGAGTAGATTCCGGCAGTATTGGAGGCTCCTGATCTTCTCCGAAGAAAAGAATACTTGGAGGATCATGGGACTTAGTAAGTAAGGTTATAAGTCCCTTAATTGAGGTTAGAAGTATAGTTACCCTAATTATAGCCCTACTTACTAAGCCCCATGACCCTCCAAGTAATGGGTCGAACTAAACAAACTCTGCTAATCGAAGAATGCACTTAGGACAGAAAGACTTCGCAGCAATGCTGTCCTGTTGAAAGACCGAAACCAAGGATTTCGTCATGGATCTCACGGAGGAGACTTTGGGTGCGGTGTGCGGCGTCATTCCGGATGCAGCCCGGCGAAAGGATGTTTAGGGTTTAGGGGTTTAGGGGTTTAGGGGTTTAGGGTTTAGGGTTTGGGGATCCTACGAACATGTATAGGTCCAGGTAGCTGCGAGTGGATTCATCGGCGGTGGCTCTAAAAGGTTACACCAGGGTTTTGCCGGTATGATCTTGGCTGTAAGGGCCACTCTTAGGTTGGATAAGGAGGGAGGGTCCAGTCTTGCTTCGGGTGATCGTCGTTGCTTCGAAGTGCAGAGCTTGAAGTAGCTTAGGGCTTATGGGTTTAGGGTTTAGGGGATTAGGGTTTAGGGTATCGATTTTATGACATCTCGGTCTCTTCTTTCCTGCATCAGAATTATTCGTGTGGTCCCAGGTTTATAGCCTTTTTGCTCGGTGTCCGATCGGTGTGTTTGCCGTTTGGGCCATGTTGCGTGAACCGGAGAGCACGACATGTTTGGGGCTGAGATCTAAGGTGATGGTTGCCCCTCTCGGCGCTGGAATTGCGCTCAACCCGGGTGAAATCTGCAACGGCCACTTTGACTGGTTCTTTAGCTACTCTACTCGCGGTGAATGTTCACTGGGAATGCCGAAGATTCTCCCGTCGCAAGCTGCGTACGAATCGGTTTAGCATTCTCGCAAGCTGGGGTTCAGCCTGTCCTCCAATAAACAAGGCAGCCCATTTCGCCTTCACCAGGAACAGCCTAATTACTTTGAACCAAAACAAGGTGCTTTGCATGTACAAGATAAGATGTAAGTAAACCCCTAAACCCTAAACCCTAAATATTGATAAATTACTTCCTGCTGTTTTCTGAGACCCGGAAACGAAAGCCGCCTCAACCTTGACATGTTAAAGCCGTGCACGTACAGTAAGCCGTTTTACCAGTAAAGCCGCAAAGCCACAGAAGTCACTAAGCGGTAAGCTTCCCCTGAGCCCTATAGAACTTGAGTTTTCCAGAGAAACTTTGAGCAAAACCTTTTAAAGACCATTATAGGCGTTCTAGAGTCTAGAGCTCGTACAAAGCCCTCTTAAAACCCTTAGAATCGTCCAGGCATTTCGGAGCTCGTGGGGGCTATCTCAAACTTTGCCGGCCCGATCAGCGGGTTCCACTTCGCGAGGCCGCCTAGGGATTCAATAAACGACTTTGCAGGTTTTTACTTGGACCCCAAAAGTATGTAGAAGAATAGCCATTTATGGGTTTTGGGCCATTTTTTTACCTACTTTTGGCGGGTTTTAAGGGTTCTAGTCTGATGATACATGAGCGGGTTTGTTGGGAGTAGAGGTCTGTCGAAGAGTTTAGAGTCAAAAGAGAGTTTGTAGGATGTAGAGGTAACCAGGTAGCAATTTGTAAGAGCCTGCATATGTTGTTGGGTGTTTTGGCTTGTTGGGGCTTTCGGTTCATTATGGGGTTTGGGAATTTAGAATCGGAGTCGTTAGAAGCATACAGATTGTAGGGTTTCGGTGTTCAGGACTTTCGTCTATACGAGCCGTGCTTTAACCATACATTTACAGGGCTTGCGAGTTTCCAAAGCGGCTAGCCAAAGGAGACTTAAGACTTAAGACTTAAGACTATGTATCTCCTATGATCCGGCGTGAGCATCGATCTCTCCGTTCGTCTCTCTCTCTCTCTCTCTCTCTCTTTGTGTTTTCTCTACCCCTCTCTCATCGTACCAATAAACATATGCATACACCTAAAGACATGTACAGACATGTCAACTTGGCCTTAATAATCACCTATAATATTCTGGGGGTTCCTTATTATAATTATACTATGAACGAGCCCAGAACCCTATTCTAATTATCAAGGCTCCTACATTATAGCCCTAGTGAGAACCTTGCCCTGGGCCCTTAGACTCTGAGCAGAATTGCCAAAATGAGAACGGCAATAGTAAGACCCTTCATGGGGGGCCTTCACAAGTAGAATAGGGTTTATAGTATAGTAGACCCCAGAACCTATTCTAATGATTAAGGCCCCTACATTATTTACAAAGATTCGTGGTTCTGTGTCTCAAGTCTTGTCCCCTTACTTAAACTGCACATTCTTAACCCCTAGTCAAGCCCCTAAAGTGCTACACCATTCAGCCACTAAACCCTGAAAGCCCAAAACTGAAACGTTGCTCTCGGGTCCGTGGCAGAGACCTGACCATTGCTGCAGCAGTCCAAGTAGTCCTTCTTTTTTGGATGTCTCTTAGGATTTGGGCTCTGTTTCCGGCGCCACCTGTTGCGGGTTCAAGAACTCCTTGGTTTTTGGCATGACATAGGGCCTTAATGATTAGCGTGTTACGGTATAGTATACCATAATGATAATAAGAAACCCCTAAAATAGTATAGGTAGTTATTTAGGCCCCTATATTACTGCCGTCATGTTCGGCGCCAGAAACCCATCATAAGGGAATGCCACTTGGACCTTGGACCTTTTGAGTTGGGCGCTACTCTATCATTACCATGAAGCCTTTGACGTAAAGCCTTGTAAATGCCTACAGTGCCCTTTATGGGTTTCATGATGAGCCCTAGAAACGCCCATGCAACTCTGCTACCCTGAGCCCCGTGACATGGGCAAATCCTAAACCCCGAACCCCAAATCCTAAACCCTAAACCCCAAACCCCAAGCCCTAAACCCTAAACCCCAAACCCCAAACCCTAAACCGACCTTCGAATAGGCAGGGCTGGTCCATTGAGCAAGAGTCTTGCCTGCAGAATCCGGGAGCTGGGATCAAGCAGAAGACGAGCCTCAAACGTCGTTTAGGGTTGGGTTTTTTGTTGGGGGTTTTAGGGTGAAGTCCTCTAGGGCCTTTTGGTTTTACCTATAGTCTCCACTGTAGTTCCTTTTTGGGGATGGAGACTATAGGTAGGATTCGGGTGTAGCATCTAAGGTATTCTGGCCTTTTTCGGGGTTCTTAGGGTTTGTGTGTCGTTTCGATTTTTTGGGGGGGCTTTCGTCTGAGAAGCCCGCATACGGCAACTGTAGTTGGGTAGTTGAGTGCTCAGGCTCGGCTTCTTCGGTTGCTTATCCCTGCAGAGTCTTCGTATATGTGTGAGTTGAGTGGGCAGGGGATGGGTTGGCCAAGAGAACCTAACACAAAGCAACAGGCAATGCACCGGTGGAGAATTTACAGCACACTAGCCCCTGAACAGCACAAGCAATGCTCGTAGTACAACCCCAAACGCGCTCGAGCATTAAAAGTAGGCAGGTGCGAATCTCTGCCCTGCCGCAGTAGCAGCCTTGCAGCTGTTCAAGACCCCCCAGGTACCTACTATATAGGGCCCTATTGGGGGGCTCTGGTACCCTTTATAGTAGGTACCTGGGGGGTTAGGGTTTGTTGTCTTTCTCCCGAGACGAGTCTCTAGTCAGTACTCCAACACTTGCAGATCCCTGCAGCCTGAGAGAACCCTAACCCCCCCAGGTACCTACTAAAAGGGCCCTCGGGGCTCTAGTACCCTATATAGTAGGTACCTGGGGGGTTTGGGAAAACTAGTGGGAGCAAATCCTTGCGGAGGAAGGCTACGATGCGTGCAATCCCATGCAAATCGGATTTGCGCGCGCCTTCTGCGACATCCACTGTGTGCGGGATGCCGTGATTCGGGGCGATCGGTCCATCATCCGACACTTGGTGGACAGGAGTGTGGGTTGAGGGTCTTTAAATGTCGGTGCAAAGAAGACTTGAAGGTTTGAGATTCTAGTTGCTGTACAGCTATCTGCTTAGGGTGCTGACGGTTATGGAAGCTGTCGGCAATGCGGAGAGGGAATTGTCTGAAATTTCGACCGTCAGGTTCAGATTTTAATGCTGAACATTTAGAGATTTAGAGCTGGGCAACTTGATTCCTGGCTACCCCTTTTTCCGTGCACCTACGGTACATGGGCTATCCCAAAGCACTCTCCCGTGTTGGGGAGAACACGAAGTTCAAGAATCCTCAGGCTTCAACTGCAGGACTCAAGACGGTTTCTTGTGGTGTGACCCTACGACCTACGACTCTATTGGTGCTTCTTTTCGGATTGACTTAGGGTTCCTGTCTTAGCGTGGCCCTCTTCCCCCCTCTGACGAGTGAACTTCCCACTCTCTTCAACTGTTTTCCCAGTGAAGTCGGGTTTGCCTTTTGCAGGGTCGCGCTGTTATACAACGTATCTAAACGCCTTGTGAGCTAGCGGTGGTGTCATTTTCACAGACAAACACTTGTCGAAGACATGCCTTGGTAAGAGTGGCCGTGCATGAAGATGTGTTGCCCTAAGGAGGAGATTTCCAAAATAGGGGACCCTAACATAGTACCCAAAAATAGTAGGATCCTTAATATAAGGACCCCAGAATAATAAGGTACCCGGTATTTGGGTCTTAAGTATAGTTACCCTACTGATAACCCCCATTTGTGACTACCCATGAACCTCCAAGTAGATCGCCAAAAGAGCCCTGAGAAACCGCAAACTGGTCTTCAGCCCTGAACGTGAGCCCTTGGGCATCCTAAGCCCGGAACCGGAACAATCCTGAGCACAAAAATCCCCCGATATATGATCAAGAGCCGCGGAGGCCGCAAAAACGTCCGTTAGGCACCCTAAACCCTAAACCCAACAGATCCAGGCCCTCACACACCAGCGCCAGTGGCAAGGCCCTGAACCCCGAATTGTTGACCGTTGACGGCCTAAACCCTAAACCCTAAACCCTAAAGGTAACCTTGAGATGGCCACGAAGAAGACCAACAACAACTTGAAGGCGGAGGGTGTCTGCAGCGTCTTATTTTCGTGGGGGCTTTCCTGGGGTGTTTTTTTTTCCGGGGGCAAGGTTCGCTCTGGGGTTTGTTGTATGCATGAGGGCCGCTGGCTTCTTGGTAATTTGGCTTTGGGGGTTTTGTCTCAAGCGTTTCAGGGCTTGAGTCAGTGCGGTTGGGCTCAAAGTCTTTAGGCGGACTCGAAGTTTGGCTGCTTCCCCAAAGGGTCCAAGTACCATTATAGTAGGTACTTAGTAGGTATTTGGGCCCCCAAAGTATATACTATACTAGTACTTGGACCCTTTGGGTTCATTACTGTTTTTTGTTCGGTCCCTGTATTCGGGCCCAAGGTCAATTGCTTAGGGTCCTTCGGTTGGGGCTCCCTGGGGGTCTTCTGCCATGCCAGGCTCTGGTCAAGTGGTCAGTCGATGCTTCTCACACGGACATCGGGTGGATTGGCGAGAAGCTCGACTACATGCACATCATCAACACCGCCTCCATGCAGGAAATCCACGACGCCTGGCTGAATGTTGGCTCCTTTTTCGTAACAACAGTCCGTGTGCTGCTAGATTTCTAGACCCGAAGCTGTTACAGACCTTCACAGAGGCATAGATCAGCATTTGAAAGACCACAACTTGCACCGTCAGCCTTCCGTGTCCAAGAAGCTTCCGATGAACATCGATTAGCCTGATGTTCACCACTGTCTTCCATCTGTAACTTTGCACTCGCACATAGTTGTTTGTTGTTGTTTGTTGCATATGTGGCGACATGTTGACATTGAGCAGGCGCGTGGAAGCTACAACAATTGAGCCCGAGCATGTTGTGCCGCAGTTTTCGGTGGCTGCAGCGCACCAGGAGTATCTGCAAAAAACGGTCCCGCGCCTCAACTCGTTCTGTTGCATTACTGCTGTCAGTCGTATCGTGTCCGGCAAGATGGGAAAAGCCGTTTCTTCCTGCAACACGGGAGTAGCTATTTCTCAGATTGTGAGGTGGAGGAATCGCATCAGAGAGCATGCCTGCAAAAAACTATACGTGTGTCAATCCCAGCACTTCGGTCCCACAGAGGCGCGACATGCACACAGAAAGCGCGAGACTCAGCACCCATACTTGGAGGTTCATGGGTTGTTATAAGTGGGGTTATAAATCCCCTAATGTGGGGTATATAAGTATAGTTATCCTACTTACAACCCCATTTATAACTACCCATGAACCTCCAAGTAGTGTTGCCAAAATCAAGCCTGCAAGAAGCTGGCGGCTTTTCAGGACCTTATCCACGCGAGCAGAGCTCCTCCAGACAGAGGGCCCTAAACCCTAAACCCTAAACCCTAAACCCTAAACCCTAAACCCTAAACCGCAAGCCTGGAACGACCTGCAGAGAGCCTAAGCCCTGAATCCCAGAACAGACCCGACTGACTGCCTCTTAAACACCGGCGCTGCTTTGAAGCGCTGTCCTATGACTCCAAATGCGCTTACAAGACCCAAAACTTGCTGTTCGAGCCCCTAAACCCTAAACCCCCCCGCCCATTTTCCGTTCCCGCTCCCTTCCCGAATGCGTTCTGGCCGCCCGAGGATATGGTGACCAAGCAGTCCCAAGCCGCGGAGGAGCGGGCGCTGTCCAAGTTTTGGCAGTTTTTTGGGGCTTACAGGGCTTAAGAGGTAGTTCCTTTTTGGGGATACCTTCTAAAATCCTTATTATATTATTGGTTAAACCAGAAAAAGGAACTACAATGAAGACTATAGGCAGAAATAGTGATCTTTATAGGGTTCCTTATAAGGGTTACTACAAGGGTTACTATAAGGCTTTTAGGGTTTAGGGTTCGTGGGTGGTAGTCATACATTGGGGAACTATATTCTTATAACCCATATTCGGGCCCGGGGACTTATAACCCCACTTATAACTACCCATGAACCCTCACGTAGGCTTCCTTATGGTGCTTCTTTGCTGTGGGTTCGAACTCGCCACCCCGCGGAACTTCTCACCGCGGGTCTCCGCCAAGCCTGCGAGGGTCTTTTTCAGAATTGAAGCGGCGCCCTAAACCCTAAACCCTAAACCTAACCTGGGCCCTAAAGCCGAGATTTGGGGCTGAGACCTGTCACCTGGATCCGTGCCTGCCTTGCGAGTGCGCGAGTCGAAATTTACCCAATGGCTCCAATGTAGTTCCTTTTTGGGTCTGTTATTTGGTAAGGAATTATAGTATAATATCCAAAAAGGAACTACATAGGAGCCCTTGGGTAGAGCCCTAAATAGGGGACCCTTCTATAGTACCCTAAATAGTAGGACCCTTATTATAAGGAGCCCCAAAATAAGGTACCCCTATTGTCGGAAACTCCCTGGCCTTGGTGGTTTTTAGAGCCCAGAATATAAAGTCTCCGTTGTAGTTCCTTTTGTGTTTAACCAATAATAAAATAAGGATTGTATAAGGTATCCCCAAGAAGGAACTACAATGGAGACTGTAGGTACATCCCTAAACCCTAAACCCTAAAACCCTAAAACCCTAAAACCCAAAACCCCAAAACCCTAAACCCCTACGTTGGACATTGGACACCTCCTTGGAAGCCTTGTGCTCAGGAGGAGCTCTTGCAGGACACCGAGAGAGCCACGGATTCAATGCACCCGGGACTTTAGGGTTTAAGGCTTAGGGTTTTAGGGTTTAGGGTTTTTAGGGTTTAGGGTTTAGGGTTTAGGGTATCATGTGGTTTGGGTTTTTATCGACTTACAGAGAACTAGCAGAAGATGTTGATGCGTCCGGGATGCTTTAGGTTGCATTGTGGATTGTGTGCTCCATGTTTTACTGCGATGTTTGGACATGCTTCGAATTGGCTGTTGTTTTGCATCGTTGTCAAGTTGAGGGGGGCTTCAGGGGACTTTAGGCGATTCTTCTGATGCCTGATAGCAGACTGCCTCCATTGGTTTCAAGTTCCCACAAAACACAGGCTGAAACCTCGTGTGTAGAAATGTTCCTTTTGCAGTGTATCTCTGTGCTTTCTGCTGCGCTACCGAACCCGCATCCTCGAATCGCAACACCCCTATAAAGCCCTATATAGGTCCCCGCACAAACCTCTGTTTCCCGGCGCGAAAACCTCCAACAAGTTACGAAAACACCAGCATATTATGTCCCTAAATGTTTCAGAGCCCAAGAAAGAAAAACACAAACACTACCTCTCGACGATTTCGTCCCGAGGTTTACTGAGCTCGCCGGCTACGCTCAGGCGGGCTCGATGCTACGGCGGGTTTGGGGTTCAAGGGTTTGTGCGGGCCTCACAGAATGCCCATGCATCGCGAAGGGGTCGTTGTAAAGGGTTTGTAGGCTTTCGGGTTTAGAACTTCAGAGGCAGCTTTGTAGGTTTTTGCTTGTTAAGGCTTTTCTTGGGGCTCGGGCTATTGGTCTCACATAATTTGAGAAGGCTTCTGAAAAGTTTATGGCTCAGGCTTTAGTTGGGGTTCCGCTTTAGGGTTTCAGAGTTCCGGGTTTCGGATTTGGAGTTCAAGCTCTGATGCCTCTGGGCTTAGGTCTCTTGGTAGGCATAAAACACGAAGCTATGGGCTGCCCCACGAAAATCTGCCTACGAGTACCCATAACTTAGGTTCCGAGTCCCTGAAAGCCTAATCCCACCAAGCCACGACTGTCTACGTGCCTTCTTAGTCCACAACAGGCAAAGCATCTTAGTAGACTTTGGGCTTATGTGTGTGTGTGTGTGTGGTGGGGGTAGCTTTAATTAATGCTTTGTCTTCAACAAAATATCATATTGTGTATGAATATCTATATATATATATATACATGTAATGCACACATATATGCTTATGGTGTATGCTGGCATGCTACAGGTGCCAATGCAGTCGTTGATGTTTTTAACGGTGCGGGCTGCCAAAGTGTATTCCCTAAACCCTAAACCCTAAAACCTAAAACCCTAAACCCTAAAACCCTAAACCCTAAGACCCTAAACCCTAAAACCCTAAACCCTAAACCGTTCACCATGTTTGAGGCAAGAAGCCGGTAAGGCAAGGACTGCCACAGGAGCACTGCTTTCACTTACTTGTCCCTAACCCCCCCAAATACCTACGATATAGGGTACTAGAGCCCCCTATAGGGCCCTGGGGGGTTAGGGTATTGTATCTGGCATTGAAATTTTCTCGACATCCGAATTCCTGCAATTGACTTTATTTGACATACTGACCCCTTGGAGGGTTTTCGTAGGAGGTCTTTCTTTATCCAAAGCTAAAAACTGGGCTGGTCCCTAAACCCTAAACCCTAAACCCTAAACCCTACACCCCTGGTATCAGGTAGCAGCTTCGTCTTTAGTTCTATTCAAACACTTCTGTCGCCATTCCTAATTAAGCTTCTTGGGCTCAAACCCCCGTCTCGACAGTAGTAGCCACTCTTCAACGGATCAAAAGCATGAAAAAAAGGGTCCAAAAAACGACACGAGACCGCAGCAGACGAAGCCGCCGTTTTGCAGGCTGCATCCTTCGATGAGCTCTCGAAGATCACGGCCAAGGGAGCACTGGAAGATGCTTGGGCTTCGTTTAGGGTTTAGGGTTCACTTTGGGCCAATGCGGTGGAGTGGGGATTGTTGTTGCCTTACAGCCCTCATAGCGTGTCTTCTTTGATGCCCGCGAATCTTATTGCTGAGCGCGACCAGACTCCCAAGCCCCAACGGGGAGGTCGGCCCACGTTTGCCAGCCCAAAGGGGGTTTTGCAGAAGGTGACATACTGATGACAATTTGCTCAAAGAGGCGTGTCGCGATTTCGATTGAGCTGGGAACCCTACAGCTTCGGATCGGGGATCAACTGAGTGGGTCTGCTCACGAGTTCCGATCGCTTCGCAGTTCTTAGTCTCTGGGGTTGTTGGGTTTTTGGGAGGTGTTGAATCTTCGCCCCAACATGCATCTGGTTTCAAGACACAAAGCTTCAGGCACATATCTGTTTCGTTGCATACACAACATGCCTGTCACCTTCAAGATCTCAAGACTTCGAAGCCACAGCCATAGTCCCTGAGCTTAGTTCAAAGCCATCACGGACTTGCCCTGGGAATCCCGCAGACCTTAAACACACCAGCACTCTGGGTATTGGAGCCTCCGGCTTGGGGAGCTTTGGATCCCAAGAATAATGTAGGGGCCTAAATAATTACCAACATTATTCTGGGAGTTCCTTATTATGTTAGTTATAGTATATTGGGTCCCGAAACCCTACTCAAATTATTAAGGCCCCTACATTGGCATGGTTTAAGGTTTCTTTCTGCAGCAGGTGCTACACCGGTGTGGTCTGCAGTTACGTGCCATTACATGACACGGACACCCCCCCTTGACTTACACCACTTGGGGGTTCGTGGGTAAAGTTATAAATGGGGTTATAAGTAGGGTAATTATACTTATAACCCATATTAGGAGACTTATAGCCCCACTTTTAACTACCCATGAACCTCCAAGCACACTCCACTGAGGCTTTGGAAGCCTAGAGCTCAGGACGTTGACCCCAACTCGCGGACCCAGCCCCAAGCCCGGATCTTACTTTGAAAGCAGGAGAAAAAGGGCCGTAAAGCCAAAACCCTTAAACTATGAATCCCTACTTGGAGGTTCATGGGTTGTTTTAAGTGGGGTATAAATACCCTAATGTGGGTTATAAGTATAGTTACCCTACTTATAACCCCATCTATAACTACCCACGAACCTCTAAGTACACGTAACGCAGGCGTGGATGTGGAGGAGCTCCGCGCCGACAACGATGAGCTGAGGCGGCAGAACGCGGAGTTGGAAGCCAAGGCGCAGAGTAAGTAGAAGGAGTGGGGCCTACGTATAGTCTCGGTTGTAGTTCCTTTTTGTGGTTTAACCAAATATATATATATATATACATACATACATACATACATACATACATACATACATACATACATACATACATACATAGTTATATGTATATATATATATATACACATGTATATATATATATATACATTACGATTTTATAAGGTATCCCCCAAAAGAAACTACCATGGAGACTATAGGTATGTAGGTTGCGGGAAGAGAATGGGGCACAGAACTTGGGTATGGCAAAGCCCGTACACGAAACCCAAATTTCGAGGGTTCTTTGCACAGGTCTTGGCCCTAAGTCGCCCTAAACCGGTAATCCTCCACCCTGAAATTGACAACATCCCCGGAAAACACTCTAAACCCTAAACCCTAAACCCTCAACCCTAAATCCTAAACCCTAAACCCTTAAACCCCAAGTCCAACATCCTATACCCCCAAACCCCGAAGTCTCCAAAGACCGAGGAGCTCTCGAACCCATTGAAACAGCAGGAGTGCCTTGGGTTTTCCCTACTTTTGGGGCCCTAAAAATTGGAATGGGGGTTTTGGGGCCCATAATAGTATAATTATGCTAAGGAACCCCAAAGCAGTATTGGTAATTATGTCCTCAAGGGGAACGAACCCTAAACAGACCCCGAAGGCCCTAAAAGCTTTGCAAGATGCCCCCAAAGAGGTCGCCTCCCTCACGCAGCAGCTCAAGGAGCTGCAGACGGAGCAAGAGGAGCACCGGTTTAGGGCGTTTTCGGGTTTTAGGGTTTAGGGTGTAGCGTGTAGGGTTCAGGGTTTAGGTGTTTGGAGGAGCACCATGTCGCTTTTTCTTCGGGGAACCGGTGGAGCGGCAGGCGAAGGGAGCTCTGGTATGCCCCTTGAAGAGGTGTTGGTATGTGTATGTAGTGTATGTGTATATATATATATATACACACCCACATACATGCATACATGTATATGTATGTATGTATGTATGTATGTATGTATGTATGTATGTATGTATGTATGTATGTATGTATGTATGTGTGTATGTGTGTATGTATGTGTATGTATGTATATACATACGTACACACACATATATATATATATGTGAACAAGCAGAGACATATGCGGATATGCGGATGTAGATAAAGATATAAATATAAGTACATACCTACAATCCCACATACCTACATACATACATACATACATGCATGCATACATACATACATACCTACTTAGAGCTCTCTGTGTGTGTAGCTCTGTGTGCGCATATGTGTATACCTATACCTATTGTATTTATATACACATGTTCTACCTGTATGTGTATATACATGTATATACAGACACAGGATGTCATACCTCGTATAACATGTGACTGCACTTTGCAGGTGTTGTCTAAAAAAGCACCGATGCATCATCGCCTGTCTAGTCCGAACGTGCTGATCCTCGACAGCACTTTGGGGTTTAGGGTCTAGGCTGTCCTGTAAGATTCGATGCTCTGTGAAAACCCTACATGCAGCCCTAGGCCTTACTTCAAATTGTGCCCAACATCTGGGCTCCGGGGACTCACCAAACCGGCTTAGAGCATGAAGGGGTGCAACCCTGGAATTGTGCCAACAACCGAACGACAGAAGAGTTAAAACCCCAGCAGCTCCGAGACACCCCCACGCCCTGAATGACTTCACACTCTCTCCCTGCCTGCCAGGAGGCAGAAGGCTAAGCATGCGAGGTGCTTCTCTGCACCAGGCGTGCGCTTGCTGTTTCTTAGGTGGGTGTGGGAGGAGTTCGTCTATTTCTTCAGTTATTCTTCTGTTTCATCTTATTCGTCTATTAAATACTCTGTGTTTGTTATGTTTATTGTTTTTATTTTTCTTCTTTTTTATGTGTTGTTATTATTCTATGTCGTCCTTATCTTGTTCTTCTTCTAGTTATTCATTTCGTTGTTTTTCGTCTATACATATATATTGGTTGTTCTTATTGTTGTCCTTCCTGTTTTCCAGTGTTCTATCATGTTTTGGATTTTATTATTATTCGAGTTATATGTATTGTGTCTCCCTGTCTGTCTGTGTGCCCGTCTGTAATAACTGTTTCCTCTATATGCAACTGCAACGCCACAGTTCTTCTCGACAACCCTCAAGACTGTCATTCTCCATGTCCGAAGATATCAAGACCTACAAAGGGTCAATCTCTTCAGCGCAGTGAACTCATGCCTGAACAGGTGAGCGCACAGCGATTCTGGTGTCCAGCCTCGTTAATCTTGGCCCGCGAATTTCAACTTCTAACTTCTGTTTCCGCGTTTTGGTAAGCTTGTAACGTTAGGGATAGGTCTTACTGGGGCCGCATTGGGACATGCCACCAGATACCACCTTTCCCAACGAGACGCTACCTTTACTAAGCTCGACAGCTCTGCAGAGCAATCGCAGCACAGAACTATCGAGCTTAAAGCCTACGCACAAAGATCTCCCTGAACTCAGAATGCAAAACCCAAAACTGCAGGGGCCCAGTAACCCGAAGCCCTCTTTGCGAAAGCGCCAACACCTGAATGCATAAGGAAGGGAGGGGGGAGGGAGGGAGGGAGGGAGGGAGATGGGCAGGGAGAGTTAGACCCATGCGCACACTATTCCAGCATCGAAGCTTAGAGCCAGAGATGCAAATATCCTTAATTGATCCTCAAAAGATGAATCCTGCACGCCGACACCTCGAACCAACTAAAATGGGTTTAGGGTTTAGGGGTTTTGGGGCTCAGTTTGTGTTTTGGTTTTGGGGTTTAGGGTTTCGGGTTAAGGGTTTCTCAAACTAAAGCTTCCGGGCTCCTCTCGGCTTCTCACCCCCTGCCTAAAAAGGGAGCCGAACTAGGGCTCCCCGGCAGGGGCGGCCCCGACTGGACGGAGCGCGCGGATCTTCAAGAATGCTTAAGACTTAAAGCACACCCCAAAAAGTTGAAAACCGGATTAAGGACAAATAGTGCTGGGATTCCTGATGCATTACTCTTAAGGATTGATTGGGTTTCCAACTTTTGGGCTTCTACTCTAAACTTTGGGTCTGGTTTAAAGGGCTTGTACCGGGCTTAGCGTTGTTATAGGGTTAAGGGTATAGTATAGTGTAATGTGGAGGCCCGAATAGACCAGCGTGCCTCTTTAATGCGTTTTTATTATATTCCAGCCAGGACCAAAAAATTTGGGGTGTCGTAATTAATGCGTAGACCCCCCCCGGAACCCTAAAGCTCTAGACCCTGAAGCCTAACACCCTCCTCCACACTCCAAAACCCTGGCCCTGAAGCCCGAAACTCTCCTAAACCCGAAACCCCACTCAAGCCTAAACTGCCTAAACCCCCAACCCTCCAACCCTAACCATACTGTACTATTACTGTACTACTGCTGTACTACTTTACTGCACTGCTACTGTTCCACTACGGTACTACTATTGTACTACACACTACTACTGTACCACTGTACTACGAATGTACTACCACTGTACTACTGTACTGTGCTACTGCACTACTGTACTACCAGTGTACGACTGTAGTACTACTGTATTACTACTACTGTACGACTGCACTACTACTGTACTACTACTGTACTACTGCACAGTACCAGGCCTCAAATTTCGTCGATTGTGGAGGGGAGTGTAGGCTGGAGGGAAAAGTCTTCAAAATGAAAGGAGTTTAGTGGTGGTAGTTATCTTGGAGTGATCGGGGCTTGGTTTCGAGCTTTTGGTTATCCCAGTCAAAGCC